AAGTCGACACTCCTTACGAAGAAGAGGACCACCGGGGTCGCATTTCGAGTCGCAACAGTCACTGTGGTCAAGGAAGTCAAAGCGAAGGTGCTAGGCACAGAGAACGCTACATCCGCGACGGTAGGAGAGCGGAGCACGTACGGAGAAGTCGACGCGGACGGTCCCGTCGACGAAGTGCTTAAAACGTTCACTTCTAACCGCGATGTAGTGAGCACTACCGGCGTGATGCAAGGAGATCCGGACACTTATGGAGAAGTCGACGCGGACGGTCCCGTCGACGAAGTGCTTAAGGAGAACACTCCTAGCCGTGATGTAGTAAGCACTACCGGCGTGATGCAAAAAGATCGGAACACTTACGGAGAGGTCGACGCGGGTGGAAGGAGAACAGTTGCAATAAGAAGACCAAGGTCGAAGACAACATGGATATGGAGAAAGTGATAAGGATAATTCCATCGAACCCCAGGTTCGGCAATGAAGGAGGATCTGAGTACCCTTGTTAATGGAATGGTTACGGAAGTAGCCAAGAAGAGCAGGGGGTGTGACAAGGCGTTTTGCTCGGAACGCTTCAAGCGACCACTAGCCGCGCTGGATCAAAGTTCCGACGATCGAGACGTTGGAGGTGGAATCGTTAACCATGCTGTTGTCTGGGTAGCAAGTGCACTCAACAAGGAAGTGTTCGCGTGGTACCAGAAGGCGACGCGTCTCAAGATAGCACGTTATACGGGCGCGATGGTACTGGCGTTTGCTTGAGAGCTGTTATAGCTGGCAGCTTTCTTAGTAGCAGCTCCACTATGTAGGGTTACCATTATGGTAGTTGATAGTGAAGTCTGAGATAAGGTACAGCTCGTAGTTGCCGGGCAAAGTGCCGCGACAGGATGGCGTGTTGGCTAAGTGCAGCAAAAAGCAAAGTGAGAGCCAACAGCGCCATCCGAGCAAATGTATAAGCAGAGGTTAGAGTGAACAGCATAGTGAAACTAAGTCTAAATGTTCAGCAGCACTTCACAGCCAACCAACGCTCCAGACAACTTGCAGCAACTTTAGCAGTGGGTTGACTGTTGAAGAATCCAACGATGGGGCGGACACAGACACTCTCGCACAGTATCCATCTTGCCCAAGCAGCCCCCGCCGTCACTCCATCTCACACTCCCACTTGATCTTGTCGGCAGTCGGCTGGAAGATCGCGAACGGCAAGATCACAACCTTGTAGGGAAAAAAAATGATCTGCAATGTGGTAGCGATTTCAATAGCGCTCGTGAGCAGTGGTGCAATACCCGCGGTAGCCATTCAGCAAAAATCGCTGTAGTTCCATTCAGCAGCGATAGATGGATTGCATCAGTAGTAGAAGCAGTAATGGCAATAATAGCAGTAGTATCGTGTGCCTCCCACTCGCTCCACGAAGTCATATCATTATGGAGATAAGCTCTCAGTGGTAGCAACTCGTCCTTGCACAATTTTGAGAACTTTCATCAGCGATCGGAACTTCGCAAATTTTACATGACCGAGCGGTTTCGTCATACAATCGGCAATCATGTCGTCCGTTCCAATATGTCTCGTCATGATACGTTTATCTTCCACACAGTGACGCACAAGGTGATAGCAATTCTCGATATGCTTCGTCTTGCTATGCTTACCGGGTTTTTCGGACAGATAAATGCTTCCCTTGTTGTCTCCCAATAACAGTGGAGTCGCGTGTTTCCACTGCAGCTCAACGCACAAACCAACGAGCCACATGATGTCTTTGGTTCCTTCGCACATTGCAACATACTCAGCTTCGGTAGTTGATTGAGCGTTAATAGCTTGCTTGCGAGATGCGTAAGAAATCACGTTTCCATCGAGCATCATAATATAGCCACTGACGCTAAGTCGATCCACTGGATCGTTTGCATAATCAGCATCAGTATGCGCAGACACCATGACGTCGGACTTCGACAAGATGTCCATGACAAGGCCGTAATCTTTGGTAGTTTGCAAGTAGCGAAGCACTCGCTTAGCATTGGCATAATGCGTGTGGTCGAAATTAGCAAGATGCGTACCAAGCGTGCGCACAGCATGTGCAATGTCAGGCCGCGAGGCAGACACCAGGTACTACAAAGCACCCACCAGCTCTCGGTACGGCAACGTCTCCGCTTTCAGTGGTTGCTTGATAGCAAGGTCAGTAGTCGCCTCTGGTGTGCGGAATCCGTTGCAATCTTGCATATTAAAGCGCTTGAGTATCTCGATGATGTACTGATGCTGAGAGAAAATCACTTGGTTTCGCGATCGGTCGATCAAAATCTCCACACCTAGCAGGTACTTCACTTGCCCAATGGTTGTCAGTTCAAATGACTCCTGTGGTTGACAAGCAGTCACTTCACAGGTAGGTGGAAGGCCCATAATCAGCAGATCATCAACGTAGACAGTAAGAAGCTGCACAATCTCACCATTCATGCGCTTAGCATATAAACCATAGTCAGAGTCCAGCCGCTCAAAGCCAATTGCAATAAGCTTCTTATGCAGAGTACGGTTCCAAATGTTTGGTGCTTGTTTGAGACCGTACAGCGACTTGAGCAGATTGCAGATATACTCAAATCCTTGCATCTGGAACCCTTGCGGTTGCTCCATAAAGATCGTCTCCTCGAGCGCACCGTACAAGAATGCAGTCTTGACGTCGTACTGCAATACGACCCACACACGCTGCAACGCGTAGTAGAGTGCGGCTCGGATAGTTTCAAATCGAATCACGGGCGCGTATGTTTCAGTGTATTCACACCTGCGACTTGCTTGAACCCATGAATAACTAATCGTGCTTTGAAGCGTTTGACGAATCCTCGCTCGTCGCGCTTGACAGCAAACCCCCCATCTGCACGTGACCACTCGATGTCCTTTAGCGTGCTCGCGTCGAACCAATTACCATGTGTTATGCTCGCGCAGGAAATGCAGTTCGGCCTGCATGACTTTCTCCTACTCGCCCCAGTAAGGACTGGCTCGCGCCTGCTTGTAGGTATTTGGCACGATCACCTTTGACGCATGTAGTCTAACGTGATTAGCCACATAATCGCGAAGTTCGGTTTCGTCGCACGACGAGGTCGAACAGTACAAGGTGCAGCTTGTGGAGCAACACTCGCGAGTGTGTCTTCTTCCTCTGATGATGTCGACGCACGAACGGTGCGTTTGGCCTCTTTACGTCGGCGTTTCCGGCGCGTAGCAAGACTATTCTGACTTAATTGATCTGGTGGCGTAAGCTCGTTCGGTGACACAGGATGTTGTACAACTTTCTCTGGTGATTGTGTATTTACCTCCACTGCGCTTAAAGGCACGATTTCCACAGTCTTTCCCGTATCGGCTACAATCTGATCCGGTGCTCGTCGCTTGGTCAGAAGCGAGTCCAGGTCCATGCGAATTCTTACCACTGGAATGGTATATGGCAAGTCATGCGAACCCTCGCGGTAGGCATTCAGCAATAGGCTTTCAATGTCGTTTGCATCCACAGAGTAGCCTTTATGAAACTGCAAGTGCTCACATCTGTGAGTATAGATCTTGCCTTCCTGCAACTCCACACTCTTGTACCCCTTTGTCTTCACACTATAGCCAAGCAGTAGGCCCATTACAGCACGCGGGTTCAACTTCTCCTTGCGTGTACGAGATTCAGCCGCAATATGCGCGTGCACTAGGCACCCCCAAGTCCGTAGCTCAGCAAGATTTGGCTTGATTGCATAGAGTTTCTCATGCGGTGAGAGTGCTTTCAGCGGCTTCGTAGGCAATCTGTTCAGCGTATCCACCGCATGCAGAAGCGCCTCACCCCATAGCATATTGGGGAGACCCGTAGCGTCAAGAGCAGCCCGAATACGCGGTAGTACGGCTCCATTTGCACGCTCTACAATCCCGTTTTCTTGAGGTGAATACGCGTTGGTATTTCGTTGCGAGATTCTTTCGGCTTCACAGAACAATCTCAGCTCATTTTAGAAATTCGCCACCTTGGTCCGAATGGAGCACTGCAACACGGCAGTTCTTCTTAGTAAACTGCGAGTGTAGTCGGCGAATCAGAACAATCGCAAGAGCGGCAGCATCACTCTTTTTTATAAGGCCCACTTATAGCGCGTGAACTCATCCACGACAAATAGAAACATAGTCTTACTGTCAACGGTCTCCTCGTGTATGAACAAGGAGACCGTTGACAGTAAGACTATGTGCAAATGTCCATCGATAGTTTCTCGAGTGTGGCAGTAGCGCGCTCGGGTTCCCTAGCGTAGGTCATCTTTCGCGACTTAGCAGAAAGACAGGCAACACAATCATAAAGGCTCAGCTGCGTAGCATTGATCTTAACCCCAAAACCCGCCCCATCGATCATCATCTTCTTGATGGCATGCATGTTGAGATGTCCGAGTCGGTTATGCAGTAACTTCATCGGATTCTCAGCATTCTTGGCGCCAGCAACGGTCATGACTTTGCGACAGTCAGGTTTATTCATGCGTAAGCGGTAGATCTTATCAACGCGCTCGAAACGCAGTTTCGTGTCGCCCTTCGTCAACAACGCAACACACTGACCTGGACCAGTGTACGATAGCTCATAGCCGAGCTCCTGCATATAGCCCTGGCTTAAAATATTGGTAGGTGCCTTGGCAGAGTAGATCACATCATCGAGCAGTCGATCTTCAACACACGAAGTAGCATGGTTCATCGTACGAAACAGCACCGATCCATGCACGCTAGGACTTTCGACTGTTCCATTGGCGAATAGTAGTTGCGGCAAATCAGTAGCTTCCAGGAAGCTCACAAATAGCGATAGATCCACACATATATTCACTTGTGAGCCGGAGTCCAGAATCCACTCCAGTTCACCAGTAGGAATATTTAATCCTGGCCCCGAGGAGCCTATAGCAAAGGCAGACCGGTACCCTGGTCCATAGGTACGGTTGTAGCGGGGCTTGGCTCACGCCACCTTGAATTGTAGCCATATCCACCTTCCGAGCGACGTGGTGACGGGCTACGGTGACTACGCCATGGCGATTGGCTCCGATCATCTAGTCGCGGTGATTGGTTGCGTCTTCAGTTACCGGCTCGTGGCGATGGGAGATTCTGCTCTGTTGACCTTCCGCGATCGTTGCCTCGAGGTGCACTACGGCGGTCATAATGTTGTTGCTCGTCCAGGGGCTGACGCTGCGTTTTCTGCGGTACATGATAACTGGAAAGGTATCCGACTTGGAGTTGCCCTTGTCGTAGCAAGGGTGACGAGGGTGGAGATGTCGGTGACCACGGCCCATCAATTTGCTTACGATGGTCTGCAGTAATTGCGTCTACTGCAAACTTCCCAAACACCTTCTCTACCATAGCATTAGTCATTGTCTTCCAGCCTGGCTGTGTCGAGGAATACATGCCCACCAAACGCGACCCAACAGCATTGACAATCTCCGCACGATTTATCACATCTTCGGACTGCACAGCGCACACAGTCCCCGAAGATTGCATAAGTGTCACGGGTGTAGCGGCGCAACCACCCACGTGCACTGGCGCGATACTAGTAGCAGCATTCTGCTGAGCAGGAGCAGACGCAGCTCTAGCTGGTTCTTGCACAAGTTATACGCATCGATCACGTGCCGGTACAGCATTAATTGTAGACGAAAGCCCCCATCCCCCCCCCCCCACCCACTGGCAGCGGGCCAATAGTAGGAGTCGATTCGGCAGCAGGCGGAACTGTCATCTTATCTTCGTCTCCATCCGCACGCTCAGCAATCGCACGGTCACTTACAAGTGCAGCTCCAGCAAACGAGCGAACGTTCTTTTCTGTACGACGTTTCTTCTCAATGTTTTCGCGTTTTGCACGGGCTGTCGTTTGCTCCGGTGTCATAGGTACAGGACACTGCGGGTCTCCATACCAATGTCCCTTTGCTTTGCAATTGACACAAACAGTATCAGCTTTCAGTTGCTTAACCGATTTGCGAGGTTGAGCTTGCTGCTTTTGATTGCTCTTTCGTTTCTTATTAGAGCGCCCTAGCCCTTGATCTTGAGCCGCAACACCATGTACTTGACGCGCTGAAAGCCCGTGCGCTCCATTATCCGCACTGTTGCTGCCTTGCTGGCGAAGCTGCTGGTGACTCTGCTCAGCAGTACCCAACCGCTGCACAGCAGCAGGAAGGCTCAGGTCTCTCGAATGGTGCTCGCCGAGCCACAGCGTGTGATCCATGGCAAGCTGTGGGAACACTAGCAGGGAGTTGGACAGCAACAGGTCTGCCAGCTCCCAATCCTCCATGGACCCACCGTTGTCCAGCAGTAGACGACGACGGCGCTCCATAGCTTGGACAAACGTATCTACGTTCTCGCTCGCCTGCAAGCGGCGATTGTACATCTGTGCTTTCAAGTACGTCGGGTTCACGCCGTTGCCTTGCTCAAAGTGAGCGCGAATTGCATCCCAGAGCTGGGATGGAGCGTCCATGCAGGGTTCGAAGCGCTCAACGTCCAGCGTACGCCGTAGCTGAACGCTAAGGGAGAGTGCAAGCGTGGTGAACGCCTTGCGGCTTCGTTCTACCCACGTCGAAAGATACTGCAGATCGGTGCTGGCACGTGCTTCGTCAAAGCGTTCTAAGCCAAAAGTCATACTTCCAAGAGAGCTCATAGTGAAGTTTAGCCTAACGTCCGTTTTCCAATCCAAATATTCACTTCTCTTCGTCAATTTCATCAACTGGATAACAGGATGTTTGTGCACGCGGCGAGGCACAGGCAGTTTGTCGAGCGAGACGTCCGTAAGTGAGAATACAGTCTTAGCCTGCGGCAACAACGAAGAAGCAGGCGCCTCGGTTGTCTGGGCGTTTTGTTGTTTTGCAGACTGAGTTGGAGGAAATTCTTATGTCCGCTCCGTGATGGATGGTATACTACTGCCATCCACTGCATTCGTCCTTTCATTCGTCGAAATTTCCGTCAGCGGCAAATTGTTCGCCAATCGGGGATCCGTAATTGGTAGACGCGGTGTCGATTGTGAGACATCGTTTGCGACACGTACAGTGTGCCCACGGTTTAAGTAACGGGCAACCGCTTCAAGCAACATACGGTGGCCTTCCGGTAGCGTCGATGTCGAAGATGCCCCGACAGCAGCATCGAGCTGTGCTGCGAGCGCAGTTGTAATATCCGAAGAAGCATCATGCGTATCCTGTGTAGCACCAGTCCGCGTTGGGCTCATAACCTGAGAGCTTTTATAGCTGGCAGCTTCCTTAGTAGCAGCTCCACTTCGTAGGGTTACCATTATGATAGTTGATAGTGAAGTCTGAGATAAGGTACAGCTCGTAGTTGCCGGGCAAAGTGCCGCGACAGGATGGCGTGTTGGCTAAGTGCAGCAAAAAGCAAAGTGAGAGCCAACAGCGCCATCCGAGCAAATGTATAAGCAGAGGTTAGAGTGAACAGCATAGTGAAACTAAGTCTAAATGTTCAGCAGCACTTCACATCCAACCAACGCTCCAGGCAGCTTGCAGCAACTTTAGCAGTGGGTTGACTGTTGAAGAATCCAACGATGGGGCGGACACAGACACTCTCGCACAGTATCCATCTTGCCCAAGCAGCCCCCGCCGTCACTCCATCTCACATTGCTGCCGCCGTGACCACGACGATAAGTCTGTTCCTAACCGTGCTGCTTATGGTTCTGTTCTCCGGCCTTTACTTCATCGCCTCCGGTGCACCGTTCACTGAGGTCGGCAAACGTCAAGTGGGGGGGGGGAATGTTCCGTACCCGGGAATGCAGGGGTCGTTCCAGCAGCGTGCACCAGATGCGAAGAAGGTAAAGTCCGTGTTAAAGCACACGGGGTCCTACAGTATCAAGAGGGAACTGTTCAAGCGCCGACTGCGAGGTACTGTTGGTGCAGATGGAATCGTGAAGACCTTGAGGAAGGAGTTTGCACTTGCGACGCCAGCTTCAAGGACGGATGACACGAAATATATACTGTCTTGAGTATCGAGTCAACCGGGTGTCACGTTGGGTTGGAAGTCATGTCCAGGGGTACAGGTGCGCGTAGGAGAAGGGGTGTCATCCTCATGAGCGCGATCGACCCTTTCCCCGTTTTAGCCCGGCGCATTAGTTTCTCAGTTGTATATTTCCCACCTACTACAAAGAACAAGGAACCAAGTTTACTTTTCACTGTTTACTGCTCGTTACCGTTCTACAACTACATCCCGCTCCTCGCTCGCCCCACCCAAGGCCCTGCTCTACAAACAGCCGCGGACTGCCCGACCCTGGTTAGTAGCGCAGCCGGAGGCGCCGCGCGAAGGGGTGGTGTGCGACACGACGATGAATCCGGCATGGATAGCGTATGGAAGGACAGGATCCCCAAAGTGGAGACTCGGATCCATCCTCACCTAGGGGATATAGGATAGACCATGTGCAGGTGGATCAAGTGGGGACCCTATGAAGGAAGGATTGTAGGTGTCATCTTAAGGTGGATTTGGTATCAACGACAAACAGGAAGGCAAGATCCACCATGATATGTCTCAGATCCTACTCTTTCAAGTGCAGGTGAGGTTCCCACATCGAGTGACCTGGATCCAGGATATGGGGATGGGGAGGCAACGGATCTCGAACTTTCGTGGAGCGATGGAGATCACACACGGTCGTAAGACAATGGTGGAAGATTGGAGAGCTCAGATCCATGATGAGTGTACACTTGCAGTGAGGTGGATCAAAGTGACCTGAATCCAGAATAGTGTACCCATAATATGGCGACCTCATCATGATTACGCCACGGATCGGATCTTATGATAATACAGCTGGGATGATGGACCTAGGAGAAAAAGGACATGCAGCCGAGCCTGGTAGGGGATTTAGCAGGTAACAGACATAGAAGGTAGGAATCCAGGCAGTTATTTATGAATCAGACCTCAAAAACAACTTTGCACATGATCACGCAAGTGCCTTCCTGCCCTCACGAATCGGAACTAGATTGACCGTACGAGCTCGAGGAAGGTTGGGAATTGCGAATCTAGTGCTGGTAGTGATAACTGGATAATACATTGCCCAGATCCTACAACCTAGTAAGCTTTCCTTTACACGTGCAGATCCGAAAAGTTAACCGGATTTACTACTTGGCCGGGTATACCTAACAAGCTCTCTACTCTCAAGATCCCGTCACAGGGTGCGGCAAGTACGCCGGAAAGGAAAACAAAGGCAAGGGGAACACACCCGCAAGGCAACCCTACGGCCAGATCCCAGATCTAGGCCCTGGACTCACCAAGCTCGAATATTCGCTTAGGATCCAGAAACAACTACGGACGCAGCGTGAAGATCTTACCACTACTGCTCCACCCCATCCCCACGTCTCGCCAAGACACTCAAGCTTCACCACTTGAACTCTTTGGACGTTACCGAGAAGATCCCGCCCTACCGACGGGTACACAAGGTGAGGAAAGCTCAGCAGATCACGGATCATCGGGGGCCCTCCGTCAGTCATTGTCTGGGCGCAGCTAATAAGTTGGATCCAGCAATCGCGCAGATTTTGCTGATCCCGCTACACCACAATACCTTGACGGTAGACCTACAGGCTGCTCGAGATGCTCGGGATCGAGCTCAGCGTGCAGGGCCGTTGCTCCGCAGGCTTTCAAATCCCTCTCTTCGTCTTCCTTTGCAACTCAACGCGAGACGTTGCGGGCTCAAGCTCACGACCAAGCCATGGCAATTCAGGGTTAAGAGTATCGCGCGAATTCTTACTTGCGGGACCTGCGACGTCTGCTCGCCGACCAAACAGGGAAGATCCGTGACTTGGAAAGACGACTGGATCACGTCTCTTGTCAACATGGCTTGCGAGACGACAACAATCATCTTCTTCAGGAGGTGTTGCTCGCAGAATCTGAGATCCACAAACTCCAATCCCGGATCCACGATCTGAAGCGGGATCTCAAGAGCGCTCAAGTTGTCAACGTGGCCGCCGACGAGAACTTGGATCGGCTTCGCGACGAGCTACGTTTGACTCAAGAAGAAGTGGTGACCAATAATTATGTGGGATCCATCCATGGTGGATCCGCATTGGGGTCAACTCGAGGCGGATCTCCCTCGCCGGATCCACCCTCCTCGTCACCGGTTACCACTCTGGACCAGTTGGCTAGCGAGCCAAAAGAAGCTCAGGAGTCGGTTGATAAGCTGTCGGCGGGGCATGTCTACGCGCTTATGGAATATGTGCGTATGACTCAAGGTCAAGACGATTTGCAGGACAAGTTGACCGAGGCCGAGCTCCAACATGACAAGGCAGCCACCGCGTGGACAGATGGCACTCGGGCACAGACGGAGTCGGAGTCGAAAATCCGCAGTATAAGTACGTGGGTCCGTTCTCAGCTCATCCTTTTGGATCTCATACTCACTTGTTTTGTTGGTTGAGGCGACAAGTTAAAAGCTGCTGAGAAGGCTTCCGCCCAGCTGCAGGAGCAAGTCACTACCGTTCGCAATCAACACAAGCAACTGGTTCTGGAGCGCAACCAGAGTCTTGCCGAGCGTGACATCGCGCTCCGGCAGCTGACCTTGGTGGCAGCTGCCATTTCAGATCCGCTTCCAGTTCAAGCTGGATTGCCCCCGGTTGCTGACCCCTGCAACCTCGCATCAGTCTCCAGATGAGGTGCATCCCTCGACGGCGAAGCGCCTCCGCAGTGCATCCACCACGTCTGGCGTTGGATCTTCTCGGCCTTGTAAACAAGCTCGGATCTCGTCTCCTGACGATGAAGGAGAGGTCGATGATGACGGTGTAGTGGGGGCTGGGGGTGACCTGGGAGGCGCTATGGATGACGGATCAGGTCAGACCGGCGCCAGATACAAGGTTGTCCGCCACCCAGGTTCGCCAAAACATGGATCCAGAACTGTATCTTCCGCTAATGGGTCGGTTAAATCTGGTTCGGCTGCCGAATACTCCTCAAAAAGGCCGCCCAAGACGAGGTCTACGACTACAACTGGATCCGCTGCCAAAACGTCGTCCGAAGTTAGATTCAAGACCGGTTCTACCGCTGAAGTGACCTCTAAGGCTGGATCTGTTACGGCAACGACGTCTAATCGTGCTTCTCGAGCCAGGGCATTCCCAGGATCATATCGTAGGGATCCATGTCGAGAACAGTAAGCTGTTCGAAGCTGTCAAATTCCTCAAACTTGACGGTCAGATCCACTTGGATGTTAGGGACAGTGACGACCTTCCCGTCGGCCAGTCGCACTAACATCGTCCCGTTGCCCGTGCTTTCTCTCAAGGCATCGGGCAGCTTGTTGCTATTACGAGCAACCGTCTGGCGGCGTGCGAAATTCTTCGACGCCTGAGAATCGATCAAGATTCTAAAGGGATGATCGTATCCCCGTACACATCCGTGTACTACGAGCAGGGCTATTCGCACATATGCGGGAAACCCTACAGGCTCCGGTGGCGGAAACAAGCCCGTCACACCCGAAGCCAATACGGCTGAAGGTGAAGCCGTATTCTACCAGGTGTGACGGGGTCACACAGCACCTTTCACTAGAGGAAGTTGGCTTCCGAGTGCATACAAACTCTCAGTGAACGGCAGTTCACAGGCCCCCTTTGCCTAAGGAAGCGAAGTGACCAATTTTAGGTAAGTTGTAAGCTGAATATATTTATAGGTAGGCTAAGCTTGAGTAAAATTTACAAACTATAAGTCACCTTTAGAAAAGCAAGGTCATCAGCCCTCGGACGACCCTTCCGAAGTGTGACGTGTCACACTTCATGTAACTAGGGCTACGTACCCCGCTACACGTAAGTTCACCGTCGTGAAAGATGCGTCATACGGTAGTGACTGAAATGTCAATGCCGTGCGTTGGAAAGCGTATGTGCTTCATCCAGATAGGCTAGAGGTTGGCAATAAAAAATGCACATATCCATTGCCGATGTGCGAATGTACACTTACTGGCAGCTGTCGTCTGCATTCTCTCATGCGTTCCAGTTTCCTCGTAAATTTGCCGAAGTGCACGGTTTTGTGGTATACATGGGCCAGCTCTTTCCGCGTGTATACCAGACAATAAAATCGTACAAACAGTAAAATACTGTGTTAGCGTGCGCGTGCTGCTTTGTGAGCACTTATTCGCGCTGTATAACAATATTGGCTGTGTCGAACAGCGTAGGTGGTAGATGTCGCTTGCTAGATCCATGCATTAACACAGTGAGGGATTCGTCTGGTAACAAAAAGTGTGTCCGCAGCACATGTACTCAGCTTACCTGGATCGGACAGTGCTTACAGCTCACAGCGCTCGCGTGCATGCACCGCATTGAGTTGAAGGCAAAATGATGGTCTTGGGGAGGAATAAATAACTTATTTTACCAATTGCTGACCAATAAGTTGGCAAAATCCACAATGCCAGGATTAATGTAAAAAGTTGATGATGGTACAGCTTGTCAAATGTTGCACTCTTTGAACACCATTAAAAGTCATTTCCCGTCACAGATTTGACACCGGCTCCACACTTGCCTCGACTCGAGATGTTGTCCCGGACGGTGCAGATGCCAGGTGCCCGTCGAGGCTTCCACTCCATCATGAACTCACTGGTTCCCATGGTGCTAGAGCAGTCGCCACGGGGCGAGCGCGTGTTCGACATTTACTCTCGGCTCCTCAAGGAGCGCATAGTGTTCGTGCATGGGCCCGTAAACGATGACATGGCGTCGCTCGTGACAGCGCAGCTGCTGTTCCTCGAGTCGGAGAACCCCGAAAAGGATGTTCATATGTACATTAACAGCCCTGGAGGTATCGTGAGCTCCGGTCTGGCCATCTACGACACAATGCAGTACATCCAACCCAAGGTCAACACTCTTTGCATGGGTCAGGCCGCATCCATGGGCTCGTTACTGCTGGCAGGAGGTGCCTCGGGTTGTAGATCGGCGCTGCCTAACGCTCGTGTGAGTTGTTGCTTAATGCGTTCGACTATGGATATATAAAAGGTGCTGACGTGTGAGTGTCGGGCTGCCACAGATCATGATTCACCAGCCTTCGGGAGGGGCACAGGGCATGGCGAGTGACATCGCTATTCAGGCCGAGGAAATCATCAAGCTGCGAACCAGGTGAGGCTGCAACCTAAAGAAACTTGTAACTGGGATTTTGTGCTGATTGCAGTTGCAGATTGAACGGGTTGTATGCCTCCCACACGGGGAAACCCCTCAAGGTGATTGAGCAGGCGATGGATCGCGATCTGTTCATGGACCCGCGGGAGGCCCAGGAATTTGGTATTGTCGACTCCATTATTGCCAACCGGAAGACTCCACAGTCGCCAGGCAAGCAGTAATGACCTAGAACTGTCGGGAAGGAGAAGACATTCCGACGTCCTAGTCATCGAAATACAAAAAGTGCAGCTTTTGATTGCTGCAAGCGGTGCCTTCACTACGCTGTCTGTTTTGTCAACGGGGGAATTGATGTCAGTTTGTACAGCAGTCTCTTTCTCTCCTAGCTCCAGTGTAGACCTGCTTTGTGTTATGGATCTGTTATTTTGTGTGTTGTTGTTATCTGTGCTCGATAGTCTCCACCTTTCAGGACGCAGCTAGTCGGTCACATCCACCTCCTCCGCTCAACATCTGACAGCACGTTTCCTGCACCTTACTCGTCCACCTCACCATCAGGCTCGTTAGCCTCGCCCAATTCCCACTTGAGGTTCGGCAGGTGGTTGCCACGCTTCGACTGCACACAATAACAGCAGAAAAACTCAGTCTGCCAACTTAAGTTCATTCCTGGTACAATTGCGACTCACCGCCTGTCGCCACGAGTCCGGGTTGTAAAGCGTCACGACGCCCATAAGCGTAGCGAAGCCGCCCAACCCGTAGAGCCATTGTCGCAATGCCTGGTACTTGGGAATGTGCGGCGCGTCGAAGTCAATAAGCGTCTCGGGGGCGACTCCGTCGTTCCAAACCAGCTCCGCTTCCTCATGCAGCGGCTGGGCCGGCGTCTTGATGCGTGCGAACGGCGGCGGGGGAGGGCGGTGGGCGTGGTTACCACGCGTCGCCAGCGCCTGGCGGCGCACGTTGACGCTGAGGCCGCCGCGGAGGGCGTGACTGAGCGAACGGGAGCTCATGATCTACTGTAGACTAGGGAGACAACGGGCGGCTCTGCTGCGTCTCGGACTACCGGAATGTAAAACGGTAACTGATTGGCTAAAACATGCTATAGTTCTGTAATTCAGTCCTGGTAAGGTAAATGTGTCAAAGCGATGACCGGCAACGTCAAGAGATCCGTTCTGCACTTGTTTGCGCTTTGCCTCCGCTCAGCGCGCCGCTGTCCGCAGTGGCAGCAGCGAGAAATGATGAAGGCGTATGTGCAGATGAAATTTCGCGACGAGATGAGTACTAAGGACTCGGACCGGGTACGGATGCTGCTGGCGGACGGCAGGGAGGAGCTCGAACGAATGAACTACTATCACTTCATTTATGAGACAAAACAGAGAGATAAAGAGACTGCAGAAGAAATAACAAGTACTGCTACAACAAGAGGAAACCAGCGACCGGCTAGTTGCCCGCAGTGCCTGGCCGCGTATCCGACTGAGCAAGCCAACTTTTGTGCGAACTGCGGCACAAAGAGACCGGAAAGAGAATGACAGGAGAGTGGGCCTTACCACGGCAAGGACCGAGTGGACGATTGTCGACAAGGAGAGAGCCGACGTGGCGAGAAACCGTTACCAAATACATATTGCTTGCTAAGGCAATAATCTACATGCCTTGGTGTTAACGTCCTGTCTAATTGTGTCTTCATCCATGCTTATCTGCATTAGATCTGCGGACAGTCACCAAACTAGTTACTTCGAGCCATTAACAAGGATGATCGCTAACAATAAGTCCCGCATAAACTTACAATCCAATAGGGCCGCCCGGTCAAAAGCGCCACAGGGACAGCGCCGAAATACCTCGAGTCTATGGAGCAGGTGGCGTTGTCTCCTTCAACCCATACGTGCCCCTTGGGAACGGTAATTATGTCCTTGTAATTGTCGTCGAAGCGCGGCTGAAGCTCCACCACGTCTCCTTCCTGCAGCAAAAATTTGGTGGCGGCAATTAGTTTACAATTAAGCAGGTACCATAAACTGACGAAAAACTGCGTACCAGGGCCAGAATCCGCTTGATTATGGTCTCGCCCATGTGCCGAGTGGGTGACCGTAACTCCACCAACTCTCCGCGCTCCCAGTTGCACCATCGCCGCGATAGGTGCTCCACGACGATGAAGGAGCCGTCGGGGATTGAGGGGACCATTGACACACCCATGCCGTATTTGATATCGAAGAAATATTTCTTGGTCATGGTCGCCCACCCCGCGATGAGCACGCCATTGCGCGCCAGCTTCGCTAACATTGTATCGCAGACAATTATTTTTGTCTGTTCGATTCGTACCACCAAAAAACGAAAGTACAAGAAATATATTGCAAAAATTGATTTCGATGTATTTACCCCAAATCTATTTTTTGCAAAAGCATAGAAAGAAAAATTATTTACACGATGGCCATCGCGTCTGTACTGCGCGAGGCATCCTCGGTGCTCACGATGCTGATTCGCTTCGGAGGCGTGTCCTACTGCCTCTGGGAGGCAGCCGACACCATCAAGTGCTCAGGCCCATCCATGCTGCCGACGCTCAACCGTGACGGGGACATTTTGCTGCTCGACAAGCTCTCGCCCAAGCTCCGGAAGCTGCAACCGGGTGAAGTAGTGATTGCCAGGTCCGTTTCCAACCCACGTCGGACCGTATGCAAGCGAATTATTGCACAAGAAGGAGACACGGTTTGTGTGCGATCATCGTCCGAGGTGGAATTCCACAAGATTCCCAGGGGCCACGTGTGGCTCGAGGGTGACAACAAATACGACTCACATGACTCGCGGTTCTACGGGCCAGTGCCATACTCGATGCTTGAGGGGCGTGTACTTATGAGGGTGGGATAGTAGAGCTGCAGAGGATGATTGATGAGAAATAACTGATGTGCTGTGTGTTTATGATAGATTTGGCCGCTTAACCAGATCAAGTACGTTAAAAGGGAGGTAGCACCGCAGGCATTCCGTGAGAGATAGATAGTACTAGGACAATACAGAGCTTAACCCCTTATCCCCCGAAAAATCCTAAGAGCGACTAAGGTTAATGCCCGAGATGGCTATCCCTGCGCAACCTCCTCCGCCAGGCACACAGGAACACTCTAAAAAAACTCTTCAACGCTTGGTTCTGATATATGTCGCTTGACCGCTGATGGCTGGTAGCTGAATCTCCGATGACTAGGCTTTGAAGAAGACGCAGCGTGCTCCTGGGGGTAGTATCCCACCGCTTCCGAGACAGGCATTGTTGGGAATGGAAGCCTTGCCCTCGGGTGCCGAATATTGCATTTTTATCTATTGCTAATCAAAGCAGAAAATAAATAATTGGGTTAGAGAACTACAGTAGCTAGACCAAAATAGATTATTGAACTTCCTCAACTCAGAAAATAGATTATTGGTGCAGCAATATTGATGGGCTGACTACCCCGCTGTGACTCACAAAAATAAATTGGTGCCGCAATTATTGCAATCAGAAAGCACCAATTATCTATAGGAGGCTCTCCTATGGGAGCGAAAATAAATAATTGGTCGTCCTCTCCAGAACGACCAATTTTTTATTTTCGCTCCCGTTGTAGCACCAATAATCTATTGGGCGGTGTTCAATCAGCCTTACATTCTTTAGTACTTGTGCCCTCGCTGTGTACAGAAGCCGTCAGGACAGCTTCTAAGAAGCCTTATTTGCCATTTGCGGGGGGCGCTTGTAGCACGTTGAGCTTGTGTAGTCGACTTGTGGTTTGTTGAAAAGATTGAAGAGTGATAATCGCAGCGAGCATGACAGCGCGGAAATCGAGTCACAAAGTACTCGGCGGGTCTCATATTGGCACCCATGCAATCAGTAGTATGCACATGTCGGATGGTATCCATACGACATCGGTGTATCATCCACGACCAGTACCGTGCCGTTGTCATGAGCACAATTGGCCAGTCTCTTGAGGTCTGCCATGGACAGAAGAGGGTTACTAGGGAGCTCCGTCCAGATGCCGAGAATCATCTCCTTGGCTGCAATGTCCTCAATCTACTTCATCACGTCCTCTCCCCAAGTAGGGAAGAAGTGAACTCCTTAGGGGCACCACTCTTTCCACGACAGAATCTTCAGCGTGTCAACATAGGGAAATCCCACCAAGATGCTCTTGTATTCCGTGCCACGAAGCATCTGCAGCAGTCGAACAGTGGAGAAGATGGCGCCCATACCTGTCGGATACAGAGCCACTTTCTTAGCATCTGCAAAGGGCAGGTAGAGCTCCGATACGCGCTGTCTGAGCGCCAAGTGGCTGTCCGTGCCTCTAATCGCTGGACTCTGCACGTCTCCATCGCTCTTGAGCACCTGGAGCAGCTTCTCAGCGTGACGTGAAGACACGATCTCTCCTGAGTGTTGCCAGAACTACTTGGCCGTGTAGCTGATGCGGCGTGGGAAGCGTACAGCGTGGACGGCATCCTTAGTAAGGTAAGGATTCCTTACCTCGCTCGCTCTTGACAGAATCAGAATTGCTGGCCAATAGGAAGTGGCGGGGACGCTCGCCTGCGTCAGAAGTTGGAACTGTCATGACCCTCGCAAAAAATCTGATTCTGAGTAGCGGTTTCCAGCGAGACGACCAACGGGTGGCGGAAGAAGCGAGGGTAGCCGCAGGCCATCGCATCCAGAACCTCCGCTCGCCCTTCCTCGTAGCCCATGACGTGCTCCCAGTCGGGCATGGACACAGAGATGGCGTTCGTATCTCGAGGCGGTAGCGAGACGCCCAGCGGCCGAGGTCGATGTAACTCCACCAAATAAGTTGGAACCGCCACCAAAAAAAAGGAGAATGCACACGAATGGTGGACAGCTATCACTCACAAAATACAAGTGGAGTGTCCGCACATATAGGAAGCAGTAACACTTAGAACAAAGCTAATAAACTATTGGAACTCCGTTCCGTTTGGCAGCACTCTGGACTTGTGAAAGTAAAATGAAGACTGAATTATTTAAGTGCTAGCTCACGCTCCTCCAGAGCTCCTACCAACACTAACGGATTCAACCCGTTCCCATACAATGACCTGGCCCAACTGATTCTCATCCCGAATGTCCTGGCCCACCAGATTCTCATCCAGTGTGTCCATGTCTCGTTGTGCCTGGTCTCCAGTGCGTCTGCTGTAGGTAGGATTAGTCGCCATCACATGAGCTGCTTGGTTGTCAATACCGTTTCGTAACTTGACCTCATGATCTGGTAATATCTCCTGCAGAATGTTCCCCTCTGCTACAGCTTCCATAGTAGCCTCGCAGGCCGCCACATACTCCGCCTCAGCCGTCGATAACGCAATAATCGACTGCCGCCGTGACATCCAGGCAATAGCTCCTCCAGACAACATGAACACAAACCCCGTTGTGCTCTTCCGCTGCTCTGGATCATTCGCCCAGTCGCTGTCACAATACCCTTCAAGTACAACTTCCCTAGCTGCTCCTTGAGTTCTTGTGTACGTGATTCCATAGTCAAGAGTTCCTGCCACGTACCGCAGTACTCTCTTCAGACTTCCAACATGTTTCGCAGACGGTTTGCCCACAAACCGACTCAGTTGACCCACCACGAACGCCAAATCAGGTCTGGTGCTCGTTGCCAAGTACATCAGCATTCCAATAGCCTCTCGATAGGGAAAACCCGTATCTCCTGTCTCCTCATCGCTCATTGGTGCCAACCGCAAGTTCACTTCCATCGGATTTCCAACCGCATGGACATTCTGGTACCCGAAATTGCTCAGGATCTCTCGTGCATATTTCCCTTGGTGAATTGTGATTCTCTCAGTCGTTTGCTCCACTTTCACACCCAGGTACTCATTCAACAGGCCTTGATCCTTAATCCCGTACTCCTTGTCCAGCTGCGCGAACAAGTCCTTCTTGCTCTGCTCGTCATTCGTTGCAACCAGTATGTCATCAACATACACTAGCACATACATGATCGTATCTCCGTCAAAACGATAGTACAGACACAATTCCGTCAACGACCGCATGTATCCGTGCTTCATCAACCAGTTGTTCAGCTCCGAGTTCCACTCGCGACCTGACTGATGCAAACCATATAGCGCCTTCAACACGATATAAACATATCCGTTGATCTTGCATGGGTATCCTTCAATGGATCTCAAGTACTGCTGGATCTCCAACTGGGCATTCAAGTATGCGGGGTTAATATCTCCGCCATACACCATTAATCCCAGCTGCGCTGCTAATGCCAACAGCAATCTGAACGACGACATCCTCGCCACCGGTGCAAACGTCTCCTTAACGTCAATCCCGGGTCTTTGATAGTTACCCAGCGCCACTATGCGCGACTTGAAACGAATCACATATCCTTGATGGTCGGTCTTGATGTCATATACCCACATCGTGTTCACGGGTGATGCTTCCTTCGGCATTTCATCCGCAGGAATCTCGGCAATCACTCCTTTCTTCTTCAAAACTGCAAGCTCTTCCATCTCGGCCATCATGAAGAAGTCACACCACTTCGACCGTATCATCTCACGACGATTACGTGGAACTTTGATCTCACTTGCACGAATGGGTCTTCCATTCTTATCCAGTACACGTGAGGAATTCATCGTCACGTTCACCATGTAGTCATCGAGATACGCCGGACGTCGACGCTCGTGAACTTCTCGTAGTCCAGTCCGTGTCTTCTTCACGTTTGTCTTATCCGCATCCAGCTCTGCACGAACCTCCTCTGAAGGAGTCTCATCTCGATGCATACGCTTGCCAGTCACTGTTACCTCAGGACTTATCCCCACCACATCTCTGTCTGGATCAGCTTCAGGTAGTGTGTCCTCACCAGTGTCACTCTCTAGCTCCGCATCATTGCTACCCTGGTCCTCAGCAAAGACACTCGCTACTGTGGTCTCTTCATTACCATCTTGCTCTTCGGAGTCATCCAGCTTATGGCCAACTACTTCCGATCCACAGGTTCCAGCCACCGATATAGCGTCCGCATCTGCTATGTCAACACCCTCAGCTGCTTCATGGACATTCTTGCCCTCAGCTGCTTGACCAGTGTCGACACTAACACCTTTGCTAGCCTCACTCGGTTGACTGCCTTCATGTTGTACACTTTCAGTAACAACATCACCATGTTCATCGCTCTCAACGGCGTCACTGCCTACTTGAACAGTCTCAGTACCGTCCTCAGTAACCTTGAGTTGAACATCACCATTCAAATGAACATCTCCATCCGCTTCGCTATCGGCATGGTGGACAGGTTGATCATACACTTGGTGCATTTCTCGTCCAACCTGCGTATGTACGTCAGTACGCTCGCCTTCCTGTGTCTGCACAGCATCCACGCAAGCATCCACACTCTCGCCTTCCTCGAGCTCAAAAGATGGTACATCACTCAGCTCGCTCAAAACGGTCTGGTCCTCGTCTTCTCGATGAGTAAAGTGAAGTGAAGAGAGATCGTCGTCTTCCACTTCCGTTGTGTATCGGTCCCGATACATAACATCTTCTGCAACACGCAGATCTGACACAAACTTTGCTGTGTGCTCATCAGGAAAGTACACTTTGCAGCCAACTACATTCTCAGCATACCCCAATACAAACCCAATCTTCGCATGAACACTCAGTTTCTTGCGTCCAGGAGTCACTGGTACGTGCACGTACGCCAGCGCTCCAAACTTCCGGATGTGGTGTACATTCGGCTTGACTCCGAACAGCATCTCGTACGGAATGCCATTAGTCCCCTTGTTGTACACACGATTCTTGACATACACTGCATTTCTCAGTGCCTCAGGCCACAGGCTCCTCGGTAGCCCCGAGTGTGCCATCGTAGACCTAGTCATGTCCTCCAACGATTGGTGCGTTCGTTCACACAAATTGAGCTGCGAGTTCTTCGGCCCGA